AGACAACCTCTCGTCAATATGCGTTTTTCGCATTGCATTGCTGCAAAAAACGCATAAAAACTGACTAAAGAAATCCAGGCATGAGAATTTATATCTGCTAGTAGAAGAAATACTGAGAGACAAAAATACTTCTGCTTTCCAAGTTTCCCAGCTTCTCAAAAAAGATAGTGAATGTGGAAGAGGTTTTAATTTTTTATCCGTTCCTCTTTACTGCTGTCTCCAGTTCCTGCCTCGAACACCTGACGAGTACCCCTGGTCACAGCTACTAGGGTTTGTACCTCGCAGTGCCTCAACACTGCTTAGTCCGCTGCGGCCGTCAAACTACGATGGGCTGCCTCCTTGATCGATTATAGAAAAGCGTGAATCTCTAAATATTTAGAAACTAAAGGCAAATCCTTATTATGTCACAAAATTTTTGCAACAGGATGTCACCTGTTTGGTACAAGCGACCCGAACGGTTTACGTCTCAACGTTATTGTATGTATTGGTAAAAATTTGATACTTTTACGCCAAGATATCAGTTCAACAGAGCGGAACCAGAACAATGCAAATATCACGGAACTCTTCGCTCATATCAGGGTAAATGATATTTACAGTGACACAAGCCCTGAATACAAACAGGTTGAATCAGAGACCAGGGAAGTTGGACCGCAGTGATGCAGCTGCTCCTTACGTAATTTCTAACAAAAAGCTATAAATCATTATGTGACACACTGTTGTTCCAGACGGTACCACTGGCTGAAGAAGCAACGGCCCTATCGATATTCGAGCGTATTTTTGCGGAAATTACAGTGCGTGTGGTAGCGCTGAGTCGTACGAATGTAGCAATTGCTGATTTTGGTACTGGAGCGGTAGAGTACATCGACTGGAATGTCCCGAAAAATCCGATCAGTGCGCTACAGGGTGCATCCGAAAGTCATCATGCTGACGAAATACTGCTCTGTCATCGAAGTTCGACTTTTCCTCCCTATTTACTAATCATGCACCTCAGATCTATGAGTTGAAAAGATGCCTCAAGGAGCTGTTAATTTATAGCGTGCTTCTCCGTTTAACTTTTCCTTGTCCACAGTTTCACTGACCAATATTGCATAATCATCTGGTGGTCAGCTTGTTGATGGTAGCATAAGCGGATCCAGGGCGGCCTCCTGCGAGGGGAGGGGAAAGGCGACAAGTGGGGCTTTTACCGACGACGACCGGGGGGAAGGAAGGGGAGTGAGGCTCCTGAGGCGT